CGGTTAACCAATTAATACCCACGCGACCTGCATTAGCAGTCCCCGCCGCACCGGTCACGTGAAATAAGAAACAGAAGTAGGAAAGTAATGAGAGCGTCAAGAAGAAAAACGTAATAGATTTAATAATTCAATAAGGCGAATAGGCTAGGACGTGGAGAGGAATGTTACGAATAGAAAGTCAAGAGCAACGAGTCGGTGTTCGAACTCTTTCACCGTTGAAGCCAATACCACGTTCTCGAGCAGTGCATTCCAGGGAGCCCCCACTCGGCGTGATAAACGAAAGTCCGCCCGGACTCCAGCCGATCTAGGTTTGTGCAGCTTCATCGAGTGACCTGGGAGCGATGGAAGCCGAGTCGGCTGGAAAAGCCTAGATACATCGGGTCCGATTTTATCTGTAAGTATACGATAGGTCAAGACTAAGTCGACTCGATGGTGGCGATAATGCATTCAAAACATTCCCAGCACAATTAGTCTTTCTGGGTAAGAACGGTTCCGTAGTCCATGAACCAGTTTGGTTCCAACTCTCAACGCTCTCTCCACTGACATCCTGTCCCTTACAAAGCAAGGTGGACAAGCTTAGATGCAGTATTCCAAGTGTGGCCTGACAAGTGCTGATAATAAGCTAACAAACATTGCGCCCGTGATGGTCCCGAATGCCCTGCGGATCATCCACAATATTCTGAAACTTGCGCGGAGCTTTCTTCCAGTTTTAACTGGATTTAAGTTCTGAAAACAACGTGACCCCTAGGTCTACCAACTGGGGAACATGGTGTTCATTTACGCCAAGCAAATAAAGCGTTTGGGAGCCATTTGGCCCTATTCGTAAGATGGAACACTTTGCTTAATTTATGGGCAACTGCCACAGAGTAGCCCAGTCCCAAAATTTATCGAGAACCCGTTGCAGAGTATGGGGTCCATCGAGGTCAGACACTATGCCAAAACTTTAGGTCATGAGAGATGGTACCTCCAGCAGTTCGGGCAGCTCATTGACATACAAGGAAAATAACAACGGGCCAAGCACCGAACCCTGAGGGACTCCACTGAGGACTGACTGTCGGAAAGACAGACTAGACCCGACACGAACACACATCTCTTTCCCTTCCATTTTAATGCACGCCTTGATATTCCATAGGACCGAAGTTTCAAGGAGAGGCGAGAATGTGATAGTGTCGAACGCCTTGGAGAAGTCAATTAACACTACATCTACTGCATGACCCCGATCCAAAGCATCCGCCAAACATTCCCGTGCAACTAGTACATTAGTCATGCAGAAATGACCCTTGCGAAAGCCGTGTTAGAGTGGACTGAGCAGACCAAACTCCCGCAGGTGGTTTACAAGCACATCCCTGACCAACTTCTCCAATACCTTGACCAGTACGCTTGTCAAACTTACCGGTCTATAATTGGCAGGGAGATGCTTGTCGCCCGTTTTAAAAATCAAACAGATGATAACATCCTTCCAGTCCTTGAGAAAGGAGCTGCTGCGAAACGACAACTGAAACAAACGCGTCACTGGGCCAAATAGCTCGCTTGCGAGTTCGTAAAAAAGCTTAGGGTGTATATCATCCATCCCAGCGGATTTAGGGATTTAGACCCTGATGAAGATGGAGAACTAGTGCCTCCGAAATTGAGACGTGTGTTAAACAGGAGTCCTGTGGGAGTTATTGCTAAGACAACATGCGGCAATTGCTCATCCCGAACAAAAGTCCTAGCATACTGCGCACTGAGCAGACACGCTTTTCGTGATCAGTGTTGGCAGTGGCGCCGTCGCTGCTTACTAACACTGGGATAGATGAGCCAGCGTTACTAGGCCTTTTGACGTAGGCGAAGAATCGTTTGGGATTTGCAGGGACTGAGTTAGCCAGCTCCATCTCATAGCTAAGTCTAGTAGCTTATAAATGACTCTTGCAATAATTTCGCGCTTCACGATAACGCCGAAAGTACATTCTGGGAGAACTGCCCGGTAGATCCGCCAGCATCTTGCCCGTCTATTCATTAGCTGGTGTGTGAATCAAACCATGGTGGCTTCGCTTTGGTAATCTTCTAAGCCGAAAACGGATGTGGGGACGGGATATATTAAAGAGGAAAGACCTAAACGTATCTCAAGCAGTCTGTATATCTTCATCCGGCAAAATGATGCATGGGAAACTTCCCTGCTAGCACAAAAAGGACTTTGAAGGCGAAAATGGGTGGTAAAGTCCTTAACCGTCAACTATATACTTGAATCCATGGTTAAGGACGTTTGCGACCATTTTGAAGGCGAAATGTGTCCTTCCACTGCAGCTGTATTAAGTACACAGTGAAGGACTTTGCACCCTGTCCAATCAGAAACCTAGGTTAAACAGTGAATGACAGACAGACTGGCGGAGTATGAATGGTCACTGACGGTTGACCTTGGACGGCGTGGACCAATGGCCGTGCACGCACCACCACGCTACACACGCACCTAGCCGGTACCCCTGTACGCCGCATCTACTTGCAAACCGCTGTACGCCGCACCTAGCTGCAGCCCCTGTATACCCCACGTATTGGCTACCCACCCAAGCTCGCACACCGCTAGAAGGGGGATCTCAAATCCCCACCTGCGTTTCCCGGTAATAATCATATTTAACGCAGGTATTACTACCGCTTACTAATGCAGAGTAAATGTGCGAATTAAAGCTAACCGCCCATATCACCTCTTTTCTCCTGCGGCGTAACAACCTGCTGCCACTGAATGGAGGAAACCATGTTTAACACGGCGCACAGGGTCCAGTCCAACTACTCATAGTGATGCCTTAGTATTTCATTCCCAATAAGCATAAAGATAGCGGGAATGGAATCCGATTTTTTCACAGTAAGAAGTCCGTTTACCGACGCATAGTAGTGGATACATTAAATGGAAGGACATCAATATTGACAACAGATGTCCATGTTCCGTTTGAATCGGTTAAGCCTCTTCCATGCTGTCTCATGGGCGCTCCAAGTCCACGAATTGGAAAACCTTATTTAAGAAATGTTAATAAGTAATTCAACATTTCATACCTGCTGGCTGCTTGCACAACCTTTGGTAGTGTCGCGCCATGCGTTGCCACGAATCGATTGCAAGTATTTCCTGACGTCATCATCAGGTGACACAATACTTCAGGAGAAACGTTTTAATAGAGCAGCTACGACGAGGATGAAAGGGCAAAGATGTTGCTTACCTTGCACTTCGGTGAATAGCTTCATATTCCGGAATCCGTGTTTGTTGCGGAGACCGGAGTAATTGATCACCGCCATCAATGACCGCGTTAGAAGACGTTGCATCATGAGGCGTTCAGTCTCCGACAACGTGTCTCCATGCACACCTTTCAGTTTAGACTGCACGCATATGTGAAGTAACAAGGAATCTTACCAATGGTTGAATGCATCCTGCATTAGTATAACAAATGACTGTAGTTCCTCCACCGATGTAATTTGCGAAGGAAGCGACGTTGTCTGCCGCCCTGTTTGCCCAGCAGTGGTTGCGGCCATCGATCTCATGTAACTCTTCACATACCCCAGTGTCTCCAAATGTACGTATTCTCAACAGTTTATTAGATAGACACTGAACATTACATGAAAATGTATACCGTTTTAGGTGTGTAGGAAGTTACCATCTATGAACTCCAGTTTATTCTTCAGTTGGTCCATATCGCCTGCAAGAAAATGGTAAAACCTCAAGTACATGCTTACGGTTAATGCCATTCCAATCGCTTGTAGGAACGGTGATGAAGGAGTCAGGTAGACTCTAGGACTAGGACACTCAAGCTACAAAGGGTAAGCACCACTCGGAATCCGTTTTCCGAATCTGTTCGTTCGAATCACAGTGAGATGCAGTATGTACGTTGAAGTTTAATATTAAGAAAAATGTATCCCTTACCTGTAAAAGCTGGTTTGCATCTGCCTATGTTGCATTGCTGGGAAAACAACTGACGTGGGTTTTAAATATCGAGCGGGACAACTCAGTTAAAGAAGAGATAGCTACAGAGCCATAGAGAACGGCTGTGGGGACCATGCGCTTCCTGGAGTGGCTCAAAGTCATCGGCAGTCTGAAGACTTCGGTGTACCTGGATGTTATTGGTGCACAAACGCCCTGTTTTTTCTTATATGAGGTTATCAGCAATAACATAGGGTGATTAGAAATTACCGGTATGTGATAATGGTTCACAGTTTGTAGGCGTTAGGATCTCATTTTCCGTAACCTCCACAGGACAATCTCTTTGAGCAATTTGTCCGAGGCATGTTTTCGCGCGCAAATACCGATCCCGCGCGGGCATTTGTCGGTTTGTACACTGAACATCAAAGGTTACGTTGAAGATGGCGACGTACATATATAAAGATCTTGGTTAATAGAAACACCGAAACGTCGTGCAATATCGTCAAAATATTACTAAGCGAATGTGCCCCGCAAACTAGAAAAGAAACTCACAGTGAAGCTATCTACGTAGAGTACAAGTAATTGCGCAAGTGAAGATAACAATGCGCAAACTGTGTGTCAGGGCGATGGCAGCTAGGGCAAACCATGGACACAGCTTGAGAAATGAAATCAAGCCGAAAAGTTCATTTTTGCAATACCGCAATGAAAACATATATAGTGCTTCTTATATCTAACTCACGTCGAAATGGCTTCCTACCAACTCAAACTTTTTCTCCGCTATCGAAAGTGCACAACGAAATATAGAAGTCCACCACGGCGAAGCAGAATTGACAACCAAACGGAGCAATGCCAGACGAAGCGGAAAATTTAAGGGCGCGGCAAAATTCAAAAGGTGGGTCGATGACCCTTTTTAAGAAATCAAATAGGATTTTTTGATAGAATGAAGCAACTAACCAATGTCATGCTTATATTTCAGTTAACGTAACCTACACATATATGTGCACCCCTTGCTCAAATACGGAGTAGATCAAGTAGCCACCCATATATTACTGAAGGACTTTGAAGGACTTTTGAAGGATTTCGACGACCGAAAAAGGACTTAATGTGCTAGCAGGGTTACTGCCTTGGCTAAAATAAACGGAAAATCGGCATGCCAAATGTTCCGAGTCCGGACCCCGCGTGAATCCTAGTCTAATGAGAGCACAAATGAATGACAAACACGTATGGTCACTGGCTCCCAAAGCGCAGCATCCCATCCGCCACTTGGAAATAATGCTCTTTCGACAGTGTGATTCCGGTACACACGGTTATCAACTTCAAGTTCAAGTGGGACTGGAACGATAGGATGAATCCCGTAGGTGTTCCTTCTTGAGCGGGTCGTCGATCCAGGAGTTGATTAGGGGTGCTCCGACTTCTTGATGGGTCTAAAAGGAAAACACCCGAAAAACACCCTGGTCCACCAATTTAATGCCCACGTTCCTAACATTAGCTGTCCCAGCTGTGCCAGTTACGTGAAGTAAGTAAAAGAGGAAGGAGAATCGAAGGTAAGAGAGTAGGGGAAATCAGTTAAAAGAAGAGAATAATACCAATGACGAGGAAAAGCAAAGAAAATAGAATCGAAGTATGAAGATGGGAATTTGTCAGGAAAACGGAATGGTTTCGTGTTGCCACCCAAGAGCATCTAGTTGACGCTCAAACCCCTTAACCGTAGCTTCCTTGACAACATTTTCTAACTCGATCGGACCGCGGTTTGTCCAGCTTCATACAATGCCCGCGGAGACCAGATAATCTAGCAGGACTAAATAGTATGGACAAATCAGGGCCAACCTTCCCAGTCAAAATACGGTAGGTTAGGATTAGGTCCCCTCTAATTCTTCGATAGTGCATTGACTGCATTCCCAAACTAAGTAGGCGTTCGGGGTACGTTTGCCCTCGTAATCCCTTGACCAACCTAGTACCGACACGCAACACGCTTTCTAGTGCCATTTTGTCCCGGACAAGGCATGGTGGACAGGCCTGGACGCAATATTCTAGGTGGGGTCGCACAAACGCTGAGAAGAGCTTCACAAACACATCAGCGGTTAGGGTCCCAAATTTTTGACCATTGAACCCATAGTAATGTTTATTAATAATGTAGGATGCTTGTTGAAATATATACCGCGGAGTTCTTTAAACCATTTTCTATTTTGCGTTTTCTTTTTATCTACTCACTTACCGTTATATTTCAACTTTCCCACTTTTATTCAACTTTGCAAATTGGGAATGGTACATGTCTGTTTTTGTATGTTTGGAGGTACTGACCTGTTTACAATCACGTCGAGCAAGAAGTTTTCCCAATAAAACCCGTACTTTTTGAGAGCTCAGAAACCAGTTGTCCTAATGAACAACAGCCCGCATTAAAAATTGCGCCTATGGCGGTTAGGACAGTCCCTCCCAAAGGGGACCGTACTCAAGGTTACTCACTTATTTGTTGATTTGCCACTGAAACCCTGATGCGCCACACGTGAAACGCCGGAGTGGCTAATTTTTTTAAGGAAAGTAGCCTTACAGGGGGCTGTGTTTGGGTACGCCAGCCAAAATGATGGTCAGCGCGTGAATAAGGAATAAATAGATTGATATGGAATGCTGTCCTTAAATGGGATCAAGTGAAGTTTAATAACCTTTGCATGCATTTCACTCATGTTGCGCATTGTTTGAAATGCCAATCAAGGGACGAGGCTTATTTGGTTCACGTTCGCCATTTTAGTTGACGCAGCTGTGTTTTGCCGTATGCTTTATGCTCTCTACAAATGTGCTTAGGAGGTGGAAGATGTGGTGCATAATCTTGAGTTCGCCACGTCTTGCTGTTTTCTCAAACATTCGTTGGTGATTCCGCAGCCAGAGCATTCTCTGTCCCAATGTGTAAATTTCCGCCGCGTGCATTTTAAGCGTTGTGCCTCCCGTCAGAAGCGGTACGTGATATTACTTTCACTGATGCATTAAGATAATAGAACCCATCACCACTTGTTTCGGTACTGACTTCGATGCGGTAAGTGTAATTGCGGCCGTGCAATACTAACGGGCATTTTAACGGAAATTTTGTGGAAAGCAGTGTGTGCTTAAACAGGCAAGACAAACGTTCACCACTGTCTACTTCTATGTGCTGCAAGGCAACTTTGGCCGATGATAATGGTGCTGCACCCAGCGTTTATATGACGCTTGCAGGAGCATAAACTTACGCTACAATTGCCTCGGCATCTTCTGTTAACTTGCGCCCAATCTCAATGCCTGCTTCCAAGCAGGCTGCTGTTCATCTAAATTCCATAACTCGTGGGGTAAATACTCCTCGTCGAAGTGCAAATGAATCACTACATGGCCAATTTACCCCCACTTGTATCGTGACGCAACAGCTTTTGCGCGCCACAGCGCCATCATGGTCCTTGATCTGACTATTACCTGACAATGTGCTCGCTCATATGAACTACATCGTTTCGTTTATTCCTTTCATTGTAACGAAATATTTTAATATTCCAAAGAAGCTATGCTTGTATGCATATTTGATCATGCCTTTTAGAGGTGTGTCTCGTTTTACAGAGAATATGCCATTTATTTATTTATTTAGAAGCGTGATAATCTGTAACGCAGTGGAAGCCACTGTCTCACTTCCTGACCATTGTAATTTGGACGATCAACAATGGTCGAAGATGTGCGTGTAGAAGCACCTCCCGCCTGGGTTTTCCTGTGTTACTGTCAGGAAAGTGACTAGATTTGGTAAACCCCCAGTTAACCCCACAAACTCTTCACCGCGCCTACTTAAATAAATAAATAAATAAATAAATGGTATATTCTCGAATTTCCGGGACACACCCGACCAGGCGTAATCAACGTTTACAAGCAATTTATGTTTCGCAACAAACACGTTGCTATGTATGTAATCGGCAGTAAGCCGAAAGTTGTCCAAGCTTTGGAAATTGGAAAATTAATCTTGAGGCATAAATTCGTCAAAACATGACGACAATTTGGGTTCTAGTGGGCGTAGTGTAAACAGGCTGGACATTCCGTTTGTAGAGAAAACTTGTCAGGAAAATATTACATTAGGAATCTGGTCGGCTTGCCAGTAAGTAGTTGTGGGCAGTGACTTTATTCAGTGGCGAGTCACATCCGCCACGTCGCAGTATTGTTAAGCGGACGTTTGTGGCTTTTTATAGGGAGAACGCTTGCCAGGCGAAAACCCACCACGTCCTGAAACACTGTCAGAAATCCGTTTGTACACTAATGGAAAACTCGCAGAGCAGCTCGTCGACTGATTTAACCCTCGATTAACCGCCGTCAATTGCCTTCTAATTTCCTCTGTTAGCTGAACAGGTTATTTTTGGTCGGGGCGGCCATAATGGCTGAGGCCTATGGAGGGTTAGACCTTCTTCATCTTGGTGTCCAGGTGAGCAAAACTTCCGATTCTTGCTTCTAGAATTTACAGAATTATGTATACTTTGCAGGAGTATGAAGGCGTCATGTCCAGCTACCATTACTAGACGACGGTCATGGTAGTGGGTGCATTTTTATCCACTCGTTGTACAGCCGTGTTCTATGTAGGTCCTTGGGGGTTTCTGTGTCCTGTCCCAGGCACAAGCTCTTTCACGTTCCGATCCCAGATCCCCAAGAATTTCCAGACCTCGGAGAAAGGGAAGGTGAGAGACAAACAGGGCCGCAAAGAACAGACGTGGGAACAAGCATTATTTATGTTCTATGGTCTAACATTTAGAGGAAACATATGATGTACAATGTGTAACAATGATTATGCTAAAAGTATCATTTGAATATTCATCGGAAGCAAAGCCCTATAGGTTGGTTGCTACCGTATACCTTAGATGCAGAGCGTTGCGCCGTTAAGCAAAGAAAACGCAGGATCAGTTTGCTATGATGCAACTGTTGCGTGGGAAGATTCGCTGGGGAGCGTAGAATATGCTGACCCAGGGAAAGCCAGTGAGTCTTTTGGACTCATACATGGGTAAGTTTCGCAAACAGGGCAGCGAATAATTGAGGAATGAACACCTGTAAATGAGCAGCTAAGGGGCGTCTCTGTATTGACCAGGTGAGAGAGTGCCGAATTAAAAAGCTAAGAAGGGCTAATTGATGGAAGGACAGCGAATAGCCAGAATACATGCGTACATTAAGGTTGCTGAGGATATCAGAACCTGAGGCTTAACCGCAGCAGCCAGAGTGCTAGGGTAATAGTGCCCAGCTGCATAGAGCCATGGACTGCTAGCCCGAGACTTGGAGTATTGCAGGTAAAAAAATGACTAAGACAATACAGCAAGTAATGGGTAGATAAAGGCCTAGAAATGTGAGGCAGAAGAGCGGCTTACTCTGAATACCTGGATATGTTTGCACGACAGAAGAAAGCTAAGAGAGGTTTCGTGATAGAATGACAGCGGACAAATAAAGCGCAAGCATACAAAGAGGTTGTTAGATGGTTAGAGCATAATAATCTACGACGCATCGACGTGCAGCAAAATAAATCATGCGGTGGTGCTAATGGAGTATAATTAAGGAGGCCTGAGCCGGGAGAAGCCAGTGACAGAACTGTACTACGGCCAATTAGGTGTCGCGGATGAGCAATGGCATTTAGATGTGGCCTTATAATTGCTAGTGGACACCTGATTAGGGCAGCAGCCATCAAGTGTAGGTGATGCACGCAGTCCCAGGGATTAAAGCTTGGAGGGATAAAGTGTGGGCCATGGCAGCTCAGTATATGCACAAAGATGATAGTAGCTAATGAAGAAGGACTGCTGCTAAACACGGGAGCCAGAGGTAAGACGAGGAACAGTTAGGGTCGCTGTAAGTGTGAGTATCAGTGATCAGCAATGGAATTTGCATGAAGCCTTTTAGTTGCTAGTGTGTGCTCACAATTACCCAAAATAAATCGGCAAAAAGCGTCGGAGAAACGCAACGTGTGGTTGCGGGTTGCTTTCAAACTAAAGAGTACTAATGTTAGCGTTCAGCCAGACTTCCCGCTAGCGGATAGACTGCAGCTAAAGTTGTCCATTAAGGACCTCAAAACCAGGCGGGCGACCGATGAACAAGGTCTCCGGTTGCTGGGTTTTCGGGTTGACGGCCGTTGGTCTTTTTACGCCCTACCAGTGTATGTGGTGGTAGCGCATACCCATAGCTGGACATCACGCGTACCTACAGATAGTGCTAAGCATTGTGCCCATCCTAAGGAATAAGATGTGCGAGATAGGTCCGTTGGTAGATGGGTCTCATCCCGATATACTCACAATCGCCGAACCGTGGTTGTCACAGGACATTAC